TTCCTATCTTTATTCCAGAGCGTGTTCTTTCAATTTGAGAGTAGGACTTGATTTCAAGTTCAGATGTTTTAATGCTTTCACTCAAAACCCTGCACTTGCACTCTAATTAGATTTGCTCCGCTTGTGCTCAAACTGTGCTTTTGCACTCAGATATTTCATTTATCACGCCCTCGTTATGGGTGTGTAAATAAGTAAAGCCATGGAGGGTGGAAAAGCATGAACCGAGAAGGGGAACACACCTACAAGGATTAAATCTTGAATGAAGACAGGGGAAAAACATTTTTAATGATAGGTAACACACAAGAGGTCTATGAATGAGCTCACACATCTTTCCTCTTAAGTCTATCTTTCACTGACCTTTTTATGCTGCTACTTTACTTCACTGGAGAAGATTAATATGTCACTTTAGAGTCAATAAAAATGACCTTAATGAAGAGAGACCTCTGAATCTTCTTTTTTAGATCCCAGCAGTTAGTGTCTGCTTTCCTCATCCTGTAGTTTTGTCGTGTTGTTTGGTGCATATCTTTATTGTATTTATTGAAGAAGTCTGTCTCAGTCACTTCCTCTCCCTCCTGTAGTTGTTTTAGACTCTCTCTGGGCACGTTGATCTAATTGCAGTCATGAGTTTCAGTGCTCTGTGTGCATCACTGTTTGTGCTGACACACCACAGGGCAACAGAGAAAGAGGGCGGGGGTAAGTTGCAGCTGTAATATAGTAAGTATAGCTGAGTAAAGATCGTCAGTGTAGGCGACACTTAGTAGTAAATCATCCTGCGGTACACGTCTCAGCTTGTGTATTGATTGACATGGGCACAAAAGGCTGCTAGAGCGGTCTGGACTGTTGAGTGAGTCACGGCTGACTTTTCACTATTGTCCCGGCAGAGCCTCCCAGTTAGACGTGATAGTGTTTCCTGTGTGGCTGAGGAAGACTCTGACCCGTTAAGACTGACTGTAAATAAAGACTGAAGTAGTTTGGTGTAGCTTCCCAGTGGGTGGTGTTTGAAGTGTGGGATGATGAAATGAATGCTGGAAAGTTTAATTAGTTTCGAAATGTCACAGTGTCTCTGGATTTAGTGGAGCTGTGAGTAATGATTATTTTCTTTATCACTAATCTGCAGATCATTTTCTCTTAATCCATTAAAAAAGATATCTGCAAGGTGTCCATGGTGAGACCTTTAAACCAAATTGGCACATTTGGAGATTTTTCTTCTTAAAAACTGTTTATACAAAAAAACTGAATGTACTCATCTGAGAGTTAAAGTATTTGAAAGTAAAAGTATATTGTTGTGTTTATTCGTATTTGCATCACTCTAACTTTGATCTTCTCTCGTCTTGCTGCTCATCACCACGGGACACCCGACAGCTGTGGCATCCAACAGTCCCCACCTGTCCGCGTCCTCCGCTCACTCCCACGGCATGGTCAACGGTCAGAAGTCGCTGGAGCTTTGCGGCCACAGCCCCGACGGCCGGCTGCCCTCGCCACTCACCAGTCCGCTGCTCAACGACGCCTGCAGCGTTCGCACAGATGACGAAGACGAGGTCCGGAGGAAGGTTGGTCAACAAGGAGCACTTTGATTTCTTTGTTGCATCAGTAATTAAGATTTTCTTCCCTAAAGTTGTGCTGCAAAGTCGTCAGATACTGAAAATAGCAGTGGACCTAGATTACATGTCCTAAATAAACCTCCACTGGGGCTTCCGCTGAGAATACTCACCAGAGAAATGGGTTAGACGGGTAAAACCACTGATGAGGCACCAAATACTGTTGGACCTGCTCACAGTTTGATGGCTCAGACTGTCCTGCTCAGCACCCTCTCTCTGTTGTGTTGTCTTCGCAGAGGTTTCCGACAGATCGGGCCTATTTCATCGCCAAGGAGCTGCTGACCACAGAGCGAACATATCTGAAGGACCTGGAGGTGATAACTGTGGTAAGACCAGGTCCAAGTCCACTGTTTGTTTTCCCCTGCGCTGTCCTCTGGGGAGAAAACATCGATTATTCCGCTTAGCTGCTCAATTGCAAGCTCGCCCACCAAAACACACGGCGTCAGGCAGTGATACGGGGATATTTTGGCAGATGTGATTCCATTTTTTATTCATTCAACACTCTCTGTGCCCTGAAAACGCATCTATCTGTCTCACTCAAGGCTGTGAATACTAAACTGTGTTTGTGTTTGAAGAGAAGGATGGATTTAGCAGCGTGCAGCTCTCTGTTTCAGCCTGTTCCTTCAGATTTCGCTGGCTCGCTTCGAACACACGGACACCATTTCATTTGATAACATTGCAAAGGAAAAAGCGTCGGAAAACAGGATATTAAATGTGCTGTTCTGTTGAAAACAAGGAGGGATGTTCTTATTGAAGCCGCTCGTCTGATTCTCAACACGCACGCAAAGAAAACGCATCGCTCCTTTTCACTAGTGGGTTCAAAGGCTGCAGCTTTTCTTGTCTTGTAATTTTCAAAGAAGCCTCTCACGCATCTCATAAATATTTGGGTTGGCTCGTGTCCTCGTTCTTGTCTGTGTGAGAGTGTGAGTGAGTGCTGTCTCCATCTCCCTCTTCTTCCACACTGTTTGGGGTGAAGTCATCAGAGCAACAGCCGGTGCTTTTTTTTCTTTCTCTCCCAAACTCTTCTAGAAACACTCAGGTTTCCTAAAAGCCACTTCCCTTTCCCATCACGTCAGCTAAATAAAGCCGTGTCTGCTGTGCCCCTGACACACACACACACACACAACAGGCAACATTTGACTTAATGAAGCTGTAGTGTTAAGAGTGATTGGCTTCTGATTCCTGCGCTCGTCCTCAGGCGATGAAAGGATTAAAGACGTCACTGAGGCACAGACAGACGGCTTCTAGAAGCGTCCAGTGAAAATCTGCTTCGACACAATATGTTTCTGTGCTGTTTTTATGATGCTGAATGCCTTTTTGAACGCAATATCACAAAAATACTCAGGAAATAATGAGTATGAAGCACATTACGCACTGTTCATACCTGCTGCACCCTGGTTTATTAAATATCGTGGGTTGATTTGTTCTGAACAAGAAAACCTTCTCAGATCTTGGGAAAATCCCTCTGGTATCTCTCTTGGTAGATGTGGTGTGGTGACGAGCCAAGTATTCTTTTCTTATCTAAAGTCACAAATCTGGCTTGAAGGGCTTTACAATCTGTGCAGCGCACCACATCCTCTATTCTTAGACTCTGCTTGTACTCAGATAAGAAAAGTTTTATTTTAGTGTCCCTGTGTTTTCAAAGTGTAGAAAGTTAACTCCCTGAATTCATCACATTGTGAGGGGTTTCTATATAAACCCTCATTACTTGGTGTAAAATATGTATGATTATAGATTTCCCTTATCCCTCTGACAAATGGACCTCCTGCTGGTAGCCCCCTGCCTTGCTACAAGAGATGTTGTTGAATGATGGTGTTCAAATCGATCTAAAATAAAAACAATAGCTATAACATTCATTATTTCTGCAGCAGAAAGCCCAGACCTCTGTCCTCCGCTGTTCGCTCCTGATAATGTTTGGTTCTTTATCTGCGATGGTGTCTGAGAGTGGCAGGAAAGTAGAAGAAAAATGGGCATGTCTCAAAATATCTCACAGGGTGTTAAGAAATATTTCTATATTTGGATAGATCATTATGTTTATTTGAGCCAAATTCAATTAGGGAATATGTCTAATTCTTGCATTTTTAAAACTGAAATACAGTTTTAGTACTTTTTTATAATGTAATGGTTTATTGACTTGCATATCCTGTTAGCTTAGGTTCTACGGATTGAAGAGATATAAAGCACACTCCAACATCACATTAATCAAAAATACCTATGATGGTGCTGGTGCAGTGTCTCTCTAAACTCAGATTCATCACACTAAATAGATTGAAGTCTCTGTGTGTGTGTGTGTGTGTGTGTGTGTGTGTGTGTGTGTGTGTGTGTGTGTGTGTGTGTGTGTGTGTGTGTGGTTTCGATGGCAGTCTTTTCAGGGTGCAGTGGGTGAAGACGAGGGGACCCCAGACTCTTTGAAGAGCATCATCCACTCCACCTTTGAGCCTCTGCACAAGTTCCACGCAGGTTTCCTCAGGGAGGTGGAGCAGCGGCTGGCGCTGTGGTGAGTTTCCCTGCAGGGTCGAGAACTCTTCCACTGATGTGTCTTGTTGGTTTTTCCAAATCTACTTCAACTTCCACCATTTTTAATGAGTTTCATTGGGGAGAGGGCACTGGTCCCTTTAGTTGACCTGAGGAGCTATCGTCTCCATGGCAACAGTCTACACTGTCGCCGGCTTTTTTCTTGCCTGTGGGTTTCTGCTGTCTGACCTCCTTAATGATGTTGTGCTTTATCGAACATACACTGAAACACACACACACCCACACACAGATGTGCAGACAGTGATTCATAAAGCCTGTCAGACTGTAAAATGTACGGCCATTAACTGCAGACATGCAGTAATATATGTTTACTTCAGGGCCTATTTGAGCAAATCCTTGTTAGAGCTTCAAATTAAAGCCAGGACTGATATTAAGTCAAGGCTGCTGATAAAGAGCCACATTCAAATGGGTATGTTAATACCAGCACTATCCAGCACTACACATGTCTCTTCATTCTCTTTGCATATTCAAATGTTCCAGTAGATATAAATACATTTGTGTATGTACCTCTGTCGTGGTGACCAACATTATAAATCTGTCTGTCACACATGAACAGCAATGTGTTTTACAGACTGAGATGTTTCTTTAAATGCATTGTTAAAAATGTAAAATACATATTCTGAGTGAATGCAGAGGCAGCACAGTATTATATTCCCTGTGTGGTTAAAGTCGTGCTCAAGGGAGACACCTGCTGGTGGGTCTCTCTCAAAGTTCTCTCCAACTTGAGATGAGGTGAAACCAAACTCATGTTAATAATCAATAATCTGTAATTACAGTTGTGTAGTTTGGTCAATTACTCTACTGTCCACAGTAGTAACCATGATAACTCAGTTTAAGGAGAGGGCAGCTATCAAAGGCAGATGTACCAAATTGCTTTGAATGTACAAATGTTGGAAAACATCATTCTATTTAAAAAAGTGAGTTGCCCCCTGATTCGGATCTGTACCAAAAATCTAATGGGTTCTTTCGTTATCCAAATCAAATCCTTCCAAGATTTATGATAATCATTTGAGTAGTGTTTACATAATCTTGCTTGAGGCCAGGGGTGAAAACATAACCTCCTTGGTGGAGGTAAAATTTGCTTTGCAAGTACAAAATAAAAAGCAGGGAATGTTTCCAAATTGATAAAGGTTTATTTAAAAAGACACATTTTCAGAATAAATATAAAAACAGACAAGAAATGATTAAAAGTAAGCTTCTTGATATAAATAAGCTTCCAGAGTGTCTGGGTTCATCTAGTCATTCTAAAGTTGAGTTGTTTTTAAATCAAAAACTAAAAGTCTTAATCTAATGAAGCTGCTGTGTATCTGCTGTAGGGAAGGACGCTCCAACGCTCACATTAAAGGAGACTATCAGCGCATTGGAGACGTTATGTTGAAGAATCTACAAGGTTTGAAGGTGAAGCACAGATTCGATTTAAAACTCTTAATATCAGTAAAAACTTAAATTCATCCAAACTCATATGTTTTGGGCATTTTCCAACTTCAATGTTTCCCCAGCCGCTGACGGCAAATCTGCACAAGCAGTCTGAAGTCCTCTTAGAGCTGGAGAGGGCGTGCAGGGCGTCCCGCAAGTTAGAGGGTCTCTGCAGGGACTTTGAGCTGCAGAAGGTCTGTTACGTCCCCCTGAACGTCTTCATCCTGCGGCCGCTGCATCGCCTCATTCACTACAAGCAGATCCTGGAGCGCCTGTGCAAACATTACACCGCTACTCACGTGGACTTCAGGGACTGCAGAGGTGTGACACTCACACACTTTGTTCATAGGTCTGGAGCAACAACATCATCATCCAACAGATGATATTCAGTGATGTCTTACCTGTGTTGTTTTTCTCTGCAGCTGCTCTGGCTGATGTGTCTGAGGTGGTGGAGCAGCTCCAGGGAAGTTTAATCAAGATGGAGAACTTCCAGAAGCTTCTGGAGCTGAAGAAGGATTTGATCGGCATTGACAATCTTGTTGTTCCTGGTCGGGTGAGTTGAGGAAATTTGATTCTCTATTTTCAAACATCTACCTTCATTTTAAGAGACAGGCCAAACTTGTGGACACATATCATATGGACGAATATGCCTCAGGCAGCAGGACTGTGCCTCAACTTCTGGTTGGCCAGAAGATTAACCCAACCATCATCAAACCACATTTAAAGCTGCCAGTTCTCAATTTTTATTTGGATCTGCACCAAATTTCACACACTCATAAAAATCAGTCCCTTAACATGCCTGAATTTTTCCCAACATGATCCATGAATGATTCCCTAAGGAAATGAGTCCACTCCTTTGTCCGGATCTGTGCCAAAATCAAATGAGTTCTTTCTCAGCCCCTGTCCCGCCCTTCCACCAAGTTTCGTGAAATCCTGTTTTGTACTTTTTGCGTAATCCTGCTCACAACAACAACAATAACTTCCTTAGTGAAGGTAAAAATGCCAAAAAAACATGCTTGTAAGTTTGTTTTGACTTTCTGTGTAGTTTATATCTAATAAATTATGTGCGTGTTTTTTTCCATGTTCTCTTTCTCAGGAGTTCATCAGGTTAGGCTGCCTCAGCAAACTGTCTGGAAAAGGCCTACAGCAACGAATGTTCTTCCTGGTAACGCCCACTTTCTCACATATCACCGCTCTGATTATTTAGCTGAGTGAGCTCAGTGGAAAATTAATTATACATATATCGGTCCTGCCAATACATTAGTCAGATGGTGTTGGCAGGAAAAATACCAAGTTGTTCAGGCTCTGACGTTATAGTTAGAAATGTAATTTATAAACAAAGCATTGAAAATGTTGGAGTATATTTGTACAGTGGAACTTTGTGGTGAAGAAAAGTCATTATCTTAGTCATCTAAAGAAGAACTGAGATTTGTTTTAAAGAACTTTAAATGTCCCTTTTCTCTTTCCCCTCTTTCTGGCTTTAGTTCAACGACGTCATTTTGTACACGAGTCGAGGGATGACGGCGACCAATCAGTTCAAAGTGCACGGACAGCTGCCGCTACATGGCATGACAGTAAGAGCTGTGTTACTTTAACCGAACACAAAGTGCTGCAAACGTCTGTCACCAGTTTGTCATTACTGCGAATAAACTGCTTTTAACGGCTGAGCTGCTTCTCTTTCAGGGTCTGCTGCCACCCAACACACACACACACACACACACACACACACNCACACACACACACACACACACACACACACAGTCGCACTCACACACACTTTCAGGACATCTTCACAAATCCTTCTCTCTCACTTCTCTTTCATCCTCCCTCGTTCTCTGCCGTTCTGTCTATTTTGGTCCATACTGTCCCAGATACCGCTCCTCTCTAATGTTTTATCTGTGTCTGGTTTTTTTTTTCCGTGCGTTCTTCTGCCAGATCAGGGAGAGTGAAGACGAGTGGGGCGTTCCTCACGCCTTCACGCTGGTTGGAGAGCGACAGTCGGTGGTGGTGGCAGCAAGGTGAGTGTGTGTGTGTGTGTGTGTGTGTGTGTGTGTGTGTGTGTTGGTGTCCACCACAGACACCTTGTACCTCCATCTAAAACTAACCCTTGTGTGTGTGTGTTTCTTTTTCTGGAGTGTGGAGAGTTGTTTGGGAATCACTAGATATGCACAGCTGAGTTCTCGCAAATACAGTGAAATAAAATACACCCGTTATTATTCTTTATTATTGAATCAGTCTCAAGAGTTGATCCATTATGCTGGAATTTCCACTAGGGATGGTGGGGGTGTGTTTCCATAGTTTATAAAATCCTGATATTGTTCCCCTGATGTTTACAGTTGTGTGTGCTCATCACTTTTTATTACAGTGAGCTCACAGCAATTAGGATTTATGGGCAGTTCCTCTTTCTGTGCCCTGGGTTCTGCCTGTCAGGCTGAGTCCTCTGCCTTACCTGCCTGACAGGAGGAGCTGTATGTAAATGTGGGGCTGAAAAGTCCTCTGTACATTTCTTTAAATTATTATTTTTCAATGTTACTTTCACTAACCCCTTGAATCCAATCAAGCTGCACCAAATTACACACACACGTAGATTTCTGTCCCCTGAATATGCCTGATTGTTTTTTCATCAAGATCATTGAACTTTCTCTGGTGAAACAGTGAAGGTATTAAAAAAAAAAACCGCCCAGTCTCACGATTGTAAAGAAATTGGGGGGAAAAAATCCCTGATCCACCCTCTGATCTGGATCTGGTCCAAAATGTCATTAAATCTCTCTTGACACACGTCTCATCCTGCCACCAAGTTGAATGGTAATCAGTTCTTTAGTTTTGGAGTAATCCTGCTAACAGACTAACACAGATGAAAACATACCCAAAAGAAGCACACTTTGGGGCAGCAGAAAAAAAACTTTATTCCATAGTTTTTATTTAACGTCAATATTCTCAAAAACATATGTTGAATTCATCAATAAAAGACAATGCGGCCCCCCTGATAATTATTGTTAAATTATCCATAATATCACAATGTGCAGTTTTTTTCACGTATTCTTAGAGGTTTTTATTTATAAGTTTGTTTTGACACAATATTTCTTTGATTGTGAGATTTTAAACAACTTTTTAATGATCCAGTTTCCATTAATGAGCAGATGGTGACTTTGTGAAAATTTGGCAGCCTGAAGAACATGACTGAAATTGGTACTATTTCTAACTAACACACTTTTTTAAACATGTTTTTACTCTAGTTCAGTGACAGAGATGGAGAAGTGGATGGGGGACGTAAAGACGGCGATAGAAATGACAAAAACCAGTAACGGGCCTTCGTCTGACCTGGTGACCTGCAGTCTGATCGACAACAGTAAGTCACGACATAAACATACAGTTCAATATGAAACGTATGATTCAGTCTCGAGAGTTGATCCACCAAGGAGTTTAAAACAAACAGTAGCTCATCAGTCACTGTCACAAAATACTATGAGCGCATCGTCTGAAATCCAAGACTCCATTTGCTTTGTGAATAATCTGACTCTGTCTGTGTTTGAGCCCCTCTCTCCTCACCGCCCTGCTCGTTTGCTAGTAGTAACAACCTCCTGACTTTCCCAGAATGCCCTGAGGACTCCTCGGCGGAGGTGGAGTCCGAGGACGACATGACCGCCCTGCCGCACTCCGCGCCGGAGAGGCCCGCCCCTCACCGTGGTAACACCATGGTGCACGTGTGCTGGCACAGGAACACCAGTGTGTCCATGGTGGACTTTAGCGTAGCTGTGGAGGTACCAGTCAAACCTCAGCACTCAACCTCAGACCTGCTCCTCCCTCCTCCCACCTCCTGCCTCGCTGTTTTCTTCCTTCTGACTGTTTCTGAGTGTGTGTCTGAATACACTGTGACTATGTCTCCGTGGTAACAGTATCCTCCTGTGCTACACTGCATCGCCTTAACTATGCTTAAGGATCTATTTCTTAAATATATTTAATTCACTTTAAGGCTCATTCTTTTCATTACTATTTTTCAAAATAAAATACCTTAAAATGTTTAAATTGGTAAAAATCTGAGACCAAATCATCAGAACATCCGGCTGACAAATGTATTTGATAAATTAAATGTACAATGCAAGAACTCTTATAATATTGTTCTTCTAAAAGATCAAAGCTAGATAATCAACAGTTCAGTCACATTTTTCTTTTTCTGCATAACTGTATTTCTACACTGTACTTGTTTTCACATTATTTTTAAATATTTAATTTAAAAATATCGATTATGGCCACTTGAAGCACTGCACATAATTGAAATTTTGACTTGATGGTGACACTGTAAGAAAAATTAAACTAAAGTTATTACAACTTTCAGGAGCTAGTGACCCCTTTGAAGAATGCAAAGGAACCCCTGCTTCCTCCTCTCCTGCTAGTTTTTCTTTGCACATTACCGCCACCAGCTGTCAATCAGCAGAATAGCATGAAACCAACTGCAGGGTCGGAATCACGCCATCCACATACATGATGCATAATAACAATACAAACAAAATGTGATGTCTTCATGTAGAAGAGATTAAAATTCAAAACCACTTTATTTGAGGGCAATTCTTATGATGCTCTGTGGTGCGACTAGTCTGCAAAAACACCAGAGGTCATGTTTTTACTGATGTGCTCTTTAAAAACCAGGTACTTTTAGTTTAAAAACTGAAAACAATGAGTCTTTCAACTCAGTATTTGAGCTATTTTTATACCTGACAAATGTTCATTCTCAGTCACTGTGTTTATTTGCAGCCTCAGTGAAAATACTGTTCCCACCTGTTCCCTCCTCTGGCTCGGCGTTGCCAATTTTCCTTTATCCAAACTCTAAACTGTGGCTTTCCTGTGTGGCTCTGTCCTCTCTCTCCCCTCCTGGCACTTGAATCCTGTGATTGTCTATAAATAGAGAGAGAGCAGTACCTAGATTTGCTAAACCTTCCTGATCTCGCACTCACAGATGGGATCCTGTTTTGGGATGTAGCCTCCCTACAACCCAGCTGTGTCCTGGTCTAGCTCTGCTCTTCCTCTGTAACAGCGTCCTCTTCACAGCCTTGCCTGGACACTCACCATGTGACCGATGTGTTAACCCCCTGCCACTGCATGCCTGTGTTTCACCGACTCAGTCTCTGTGTTTCTGTCCTTCCCTCCCTGTCTGTTTTTTCTCTCTCTCTCTGTCTCTCTTCCCCATGCGTCTGTGCGTTCCTCCGTGGTAGAGGACCCTAGTCCAGTCAGTGGGAATATGGCCCCCTCGGTGGGGCCCCCCAGTGGCCAGGGACCGGTGCCTCTGTCTGTTATCTGCTGGTACCGTGTTCAGAGCCTCTCCTTTAGTGAATCCTGCAGGAGTCTAGAGGTAAAGGAGCCAGGCAGACAGGAGAGGCCCTGTGTGTGTGTGTGTGTGTGTGTGTGTGTGTGTGTGTGGCTTCACAGAAACACAAATAGAATAGAAATAGCTGTGGTGCCTCATGTTCGACTATTTATAGTGACCCATTCATTTGTTTAATAGGAATTTGTGTTTGACAGCTAAAGATTCAAAATGTAATTGATGGTAAAAACAGCATGATCATAAAACAGAATCAGACTGAGTACAAACAGTTTTATAGTTATTGCTCCAAACAGTGATTCCCAACCAGAGCTACTCGAGGGGCACATTTCTCAATAGGAAAGAGTTGTTTATAGCAATTATAGTTCACTAATACAAATATATATCTATGTGTCCAAAACACTGTTAGAACATTATGGTTCATGTAATGGTGCTATTAGTAGATTAACAGTCAAGAATAGAATAGTCCTCCAGGTAGTAAACTAGTCAACTTTACAGTTTACATGTGTATCACTTGGTTTTGTTGTTGATTTCAAACTTGTTCTTTTTTTCTTCTTTCTAGAATCAACTGTCTGGAAATTTACTTCGAAAGTTCAAGAACAGTAACGGTTGGCAGAAGCTCTGGGTGGTCTTCACCAACTTCAGCCTGTTTTTCTATAAGTCTCACCAGGTGATTGTCCAGAACACAGAGAACACACCTCAGTCATTCTTCCTCCTCCTCCTCCTGCTCCTCCTCGTCCTCACTCTGAGCCTGTCAAAGTGTTTTCCCTCCTCTGGGCTGAGAAGCATCACACCTTTGTATTGAATGTCAAATCTCTGTGTCATATTAGTGGTGAACACACTTTCCCATGCAGTTTGTCACCTTGCTGTTTGTGCAACACATTCTGTGAGTTTTACATCCTCATAAGAAAGTTTTAAATTCTGTAATCAATAAAAAAAAAAGATATTTTTAAAAAAGAACTATCAAACAGACAGCTCTTTCTGCTTTGTTACATTTGAGTTTTAGACTTTACATATTATAATATGCTTATGAATATGAATATGTCCATCAACTTCAAACAGTTGAACAGTTTAGTGTCATTTATTATTTCTCTGTCTCCTCAGGATGATTATCCGCTGGCCAGCCTTCCTCTGCTGGGTTACTCTGTCACCGTCCCCTCAGACTCTGAAAACATTCACAAGGACTACGTCTTCAAATTGCATTTCAAGTCCCACGTCTATTACTTCCGAACGGAGAGTGAATATACTTTTGAAAGGTATTTATTGTCCAAAGTCACATTTACTAAAGGTGTTTTCAGACATGAAGGAAGGAAAAATAGGTCCGGGCATTTTCTGGAGTTTGCCTTTCACATGTGAAGAACGCAGCAGGAGATTGTTCAAGTCAGACACGTTCACAACAAGAAATAATATTCAGGTGAGGGTGGCGTCTGGGTAGAACGTGCGGGATAGATTCCTGAGGAAATCTAATTTTTGTTTAGAACACATTGACACCAACATCTGCCCTTATCACCGAAAGCGCTCGAATCTCGTTGTTTCTCCAAGTTGACCTCTTCAGCGACTTCTTCTTCATGTATGGCTCTTCTTTTTCATCCTGAGATATTGTATTTTTCCAGTTCTGTGTGATTCCTTGTGAATTTTCTTGACATTTTCCTGCTTTTTTCTCACATGGGCTCATTCTAGACAGTTTACTGACAGGAAACATTTCCAGAAACTTACTCAGACATTTGCGTTCTCACCCACAGAGCCTTTGCGGGGAATTTCTAAATTTCAGTGAATGTCTGAAAGCAGCTTTTGTCGTTTTGTGGATTCCTGGACGTCAGAGGACTCATCTTTCTCTTTCTCTGCCCACAGGTGGATGGAGGTCATCCGCAGCGCCACGGTCCCCTCCAGCCGCGCCCGCGTCCTGAACAACAAAGAGTCTCATCCTCACTGAGTCGACTTGCTTCCACACACTTGTCTCCTTCGGGTGGCGTCCGCTCTTCCTGCCCCGCCTCCCTCCAGGACTCTTTTCTTTCTTGTCTACATACAGTATATCTGGGACATTTGTACACGTGTCCATGCACATTTGGTGCTTTTTAATGCTTTAATGGTGACATGTCCGCTGGTTTAGACTGCATCAGAGACTGCATTTTTTGGCATTTTTACTCTCAACTCTGAAACCTCTTTTTACGGATGTCATTTTATACTGTTTTCTAATGGTCTCAACCACTTCTTATCTTTCTGGTTTGACATTTTTGCCATTGGTTGTTTTTACAGCAGGAACACGTTGATATAGACACTCAGCATTCTTTCGTAGATGGTTAAACTATCACTGCATTGTCACAACACTTTTGTCTACTTGTTCATTTTATTGAAAACAGCTGCTTTGAAAACTTTCCTGCAACCTTGGTGCCAAAACTGGTTTATAGCAACATCCTGGACTTTTTAATGCTATTTTGTTACACTGGGGATAAAGGAGCGTCTCCTATGCTACACACCATGAAGTTTAAAGTCATGTAAAACAGGCCACCTTCTAAAGGTCGACGCTGCGTTCACATCTGGACCGGCACAATGTGTTCTTGTTAAAAAAAGAAAGTGATGAAAGTATGAAATTATTTTTGTTGTATTATTCAACATAACCCTAGGATTGATCACAATGTGGCCAGAGGTAGCTTCCATCACCACTAACTCCATTTCAAGTAAATATTCTATCTGCTGATGTTTGTTGTATGAATAAGTCTCAGACTGTTTATCTTCTTTTTAAAGCTTCAGTTTCCCTTCAGCAGTAAAATGACAAAATGTGAGAAATGTTCATAATCATCGTATTATGAAGACGAGTGTAAGTGAAAGCTTTAAAGATGATGTGTGAGACAAAATAGAAACTTTCAGTTCTAAGTGCTGTCGCTCTCACTGAACTACAGGCTGCCTCCTGAACGAAGACGCCCACACATTTTTATGGGTATAAATGAATGGAAATGTGCATTCTACAGGGTTCTGCAGTGAAGCGAATGAGATGGAAAAAACTTGGTTGTGCTTTGAGATTGCAGTTTTTTCCAGACAACAGAGAGCTCTTTGGAAATGAAAGCAATAAAACACATATTCACACTTTGATATGTGTTTCCTTGTGTTTTGTGTTTCAGTTCTACAGGCATGTTTGTATGAGTGTGGTAACAGCTGTGACCTACAGGTGGCATCATTGATCAAGAAGTTTGGTTCAGCTCCGCTGCAATAGCATTGTGTAGGGTAGTGTTCTGTAGTGATGCAAATAATAAGAAGCAGTGTGCAGAGCTGTGTTTGTGCTGTTTTGCACAAAATGAAAAATCATTTTTACTTTTAAACCAACTTAACCTGCACAAACTCTTCATGCAGACACATGGAACTACATTATGATTTTAGATAGCTCAGATATAAAACCTGAAGGAAGTACCAGTGTGTGTGTGAGACCTTATAACTCCAATAGATGACATAAAGAAGTGTTGATAAAGGAATAAAGTCATTTCAAAAGATAATGTCAGAATCAGAATCACTTTTATTGCCAGGTATGTGAACACACACGAGGAATCTGACTCCTCTCTTAGTACAAACAGTAAAAAAAACAAAACAAACATAGACATAAACAAGGACAAAAGCTATGTACATGTAAGCTAAATAGGTACAAATACTGTATATACATAAATATCTGGTGTATAGAAGGAAATGTTTCTGTTCGTATTCTGTTCGTATTTGGTCTTAATCAATCACATAAAAATCTTGTATAGCAAATCTAAAGTGCTCTGCTTCTATCAACCAGCTTGATTAGATGATATCGATCCACTCTTCTTCTTATTCAGTGAAAAGTGAGAACAGTTATATTCAGAGGCACCATGACCTCAACTAAACACATAATAAAAATAACCCTGTCCTCCAGAGTTGTATTTTTTTCTTTCGTTGTCATAGGAAAATATTGATTCAGTCATTCATGCTGTTAAATACTCACTGTCCAAAGTCCAGGCCCTACACACACACACACACACACACACACACACACACACACACACACACACACGGCAGTGGGCGGGCCTTTACGCCGGTAAGGGGCGGAGCGCACCGAGGAGGCAGCCAGCAGATTAAACACCTCCTGTGAGCGTCTACTTGGCGCTGACCGAGCAACGAAACTCCTGAGGAGAGGAGACTTTTATCATGACAACACGAAAACCCCGCGGAAGAACACCGAGCTGAGGAGTCATGCTGCACACGTTGACTTTTTAGAGACGACAACCATGAGATCTGGAGGTTGGAGCGAGGCGACGTCCGCGCCACAACATGAGCCAGCTTCAAACTAGCGGTGCGCACTAGTTGTGTGGATCCGAGAGACTGTCAACAAACCGGGGATGATCCTCCTTTAAAACCTGCTTCCTTCAGCTGTGGTTATCGAACGTGTCATTGATGCAAAGTGTTGCGCGCAACGATGGCGACGACCCCTGCGCACCCGGAGACCAGGAAATTTACGCGTGGTCTGGGTAAACCCGGCACCGCGGCTGAGCTCAGGCAGAGCGTCTCGGAGGTGGTGAGGACGTCCGTGCTGATTGTAAGTACTCACCTCCTCTTCCTCACCCCCCTCTTCCTCCTTAATACTGTGTTATCATGTCTGGTTAAACCGCTGTGCGGCAGGAGGTCACCTGAGTTCTCACGCACATTGAAGAGGGTTTGGATCAGCCTGGTGGGAGCACATGTGGGCTTCATGGGTGAACAAGTACAGGTCATGAGTGAGTGACTCTGACCTGCACATGTGCCTCTAGTGTTTGTATGAGACACACAATGGATTGAAGAATGGAGTTAGTGGAGACTTCCACGTGGAATTTTGCTCTGGAGTTTTAAAATACTTTTCTTTGTAGCTTACACAGAACATTTGATACTCTCTACAAACTCTCTGATCAAATGCCACCAAGTCACTCCACACCTTCACTTTCATTCTCACTTCTTCCATTCATCCCAAGTGTCTTGTTTCCCACAGAGGCCATAAAGAATCAGTGCATGATCAAGGTGTTTTGTACTCTGTGTCTCAGGGAGGTACTGAGATGCCACATTACCTCCTCACAAGGGAAAGCATGTGGCTTCAATTTCACGCTCCAGGCCGTGTCCAGTGACATTGACATAATGCTGAATTGGACCGTCCACTTTGAGAACATCTGGGCAACGAGGACCTGCTCCGTAACTCCTCTGTATCAGCTTTCCACAGAGGAAGAGAGGAGTCGAGCCCTTTGTTGTGTCCGAGTGTGTTTGGGTGTTTGCTCCTTCTCCGTATGATCGCTCCTGTATTTCCAGGAAGAAGTTGCTAGGTGACTGAAACGGACACCGTCCAGGCCTCTCTGTCAGGGAAATGGAATCCTGAGTCAGGATCCCAGACATCCAACCACACCTTCGTATTATTTATTCATTCTCTCCCTGGTGAACTGCCAGACGCCAGAGGGAAGAGAGCAGGGATGGATACAAGTATGCATGTTGAGAAATCAGCAGGCTGGAGGAGTGCTGAGTAAACCTGAAGAGACTGTTATGGGACTTTCCTTCGTTTGTATCAGCAGGATTTCATTCGTTTGGTAAACTAGGCTGAAACTTTAGAATCAGGGAGTAACGGATTGAAAAAGTGTAGATTTTGCATTGTGGTCTTCTTACAATTTTTTATTGTCATTTTACATCCTTTGGTTGTTTTTTGGATTCTATTTCATGTCTCACTCTTCGTTTTCATCTCTTTGTTATAGTTTCTCGTCTCTGATCGTTTTGCATTTCTTTGTGGTGGTTGTGTTGTCGCTCTTTGTAAATATTTTGTGCAACAATGTGTCCATTTTCTTTGTCTTTGTGGTTGTTTCTGTGACTTTCCAACAAGAAATGTCTACACTCCATCCACTGGTTCTGGTCTGTGGGGCCCGTGCCACCTTTGAGCTGTCCGTCTGGCCCCGCCCCTGGACATGCGAGCTATAGGGATGGAGCATATGGACGGACGTGTTGTTGAGTTCAAGTGTTTACTGAAGCTTTTCAGTGGGACAAGAATGTGCCTGCACACACAAGACCTCTGTCTATGCAGTTTATAATGAATTCCTGCATGAAACATGTACACA